ATATCTAGGGATTGTGTTGAAAGGTGCTCCACGCATTCTGTTTATCATTATTTACAGGCCTCCAAAATACTCTCCGGCTTTTGCTGAAGAGTTCACAGAACTGTTATCAATGATTTCTTCAGAGTTTGACTGTTTTGCTATTGCAGGGGATTTTAATATTCACATAGATAATGCAGAAATCGAAACTACAGAAGAAATTATAACTGTTTTAAACACTTTTGACCTGACTCAGCATGTGCATGAACCCACACACAGTCGAGGACACACTCTAAATTTACTCATCAGTAGGTCTAAACATTTCATCCACTATTATTAAGTAGCACTATCTGCTCACTTCTGTATTTTCTGTATTTTTGTTACAACTGAATTTAGATCTGTCTCTGTCAGAAAGAGATGCATTAATGAATTGCTATTTATGAAGGCAATATCTTTAACACCAAGCATATCTCCAGGCTCTGTTGATCTTCTCCTTGATTCCTTTAACTCAAAAGTTAAGAATGTTATTGATGATATTGCTCCTGTGAAAGTCAGTAAGAAGACTGGCAGACAAAAATCACCTTGGAGAAAATCAACAACAGAGTATGTGTGATGTAACAGTGGATGTGGCGGAAGACGAAACTTGAAATTCACTATAGCCAGTGGTGTAATGGTGCCTGGAGAAGTGGGTATACTCTTAATTTATGCCCCGATTTTTTAAAAGCGACCCAGCAAAGGATGAACACCATGTGTTATAAACAGTGACCAGTGACGTGTAAAACTAGTCTTATATATAACTTCTGCTGTTTGACTTCACGGAGTAAGAATCATTATGAAATTAAAATCTGCCACAGAAGAGGTGCAAAATTTTGACATTTTTTTTGTCAGAACCTCTAGTACATTACATGCTATTTTGTTTAGTTGTCTGTTCGTAGGAGAATAATGATCTCTATTTTAAAAAAAAATCGTGACTATCAATTTATCCAGAATGTATCCCCCTCCCCCCCATCCCCACCACCTTTTTAATAAAAATAAGCACCAGTCAAGCTGCAATACTGTTTGAACGCATTCGTTTACTGGATCCTTGGACTGAAAAGTTTACCGGTTTTTAAGCTATTGTTTTTGTTGTAATGTACTGATTCAAATTAGTAATCAATAATGAACTATTATTTTACCACTCTGCGTGCATCCCCTGACATGCTCTCGCACATGAAGATCTCTGTCACCTGTCACTGTCGGCAATCGGCATCCTCTCTGACTGGGGTCGGGGACGGAGCGGGCGAGGGCGCAGGCGCAATCATCAAACATATTTCAAAGGAGGCCGGCGCCACGGTCCTGACCGCATCACTGTCTTTACTGGGTGTTTTAGGGAATATTTGTATTTTGTACATGCGATTGGATTAGCTATTAATGTGGTGGACTGTCATGATTTTGCCTAATGCAGGATACTAATGAATGATGCGCATCAGAGGGGATTTAGAAGTGGGTATACGCAAAGCCGACTAATAAAGAAGTGGGTATACGCCGTATACCTGTTACTGTTTGAACGCATTCGTTTACTGGATCCTTGGACTGAAAAGTTTACCGGTTTTTAAGCTATTGTTTTTGTTGTAATGTACTGATTCAAATTAGTAATCAATAATGAACTATTATTTTACCACTCTGCGTGCATCCCCTGACATGCTCTCGCACATGAAGAAGCAGCATCTCTGTCACTGTCGGCAATCGGCATCCTCTCTGACTGGGGTCGGGGACGGAGCGGGCGAGGGCGCAGGCGCAATCATCAAACATATTTCAAAGGAGGCCGGCGCCACGGTCCTGAGCGCATCACTGTCTTTACTGGGTGTTTTTAGGGAATATTTGTATTTTTTACATGCGATTGGATTAGCTATTCATGTGGTGGACTGTCATGATTTTGCCTAATGCAGGACACTAATGAATGATGTGCATCAGAGGGGATTTAGAAGTGGGTATACGCAAAGCCGACTGATAAAGAAGTGGGTATACGCCGTATACCTGCGTATACCCTCCACTACACCACTGACTATAGCATCTATAAAGACAGCCTTCATGCTTTCAATGTTGAAATAGCCACAGCTAGACAGACCTTCTTCTCAAACCTTATAAACAGTAACTTAAACAACACTCTTTTTGCTACTATTGAGAGACTGACAAACCCCCCCGCCCCCCAAGTCAGATTCCCAGTGAAATGCTCTCCGACAGCAAATTCAATGAGTTTGCTTGCTTTCTTTTCGGAGAAGATCAATAATATCAGAAAGGCGATTGGCACATCCTCAAGTTATGCAGAGGTCAGACAAATTTGACCACAATTTCAAAAAGTTACTATGTCTGTTTTTGAAGCAATTGATAGCAAAATTTTGGAAGAAATAGTACAGCACCTTAAATCGTCAACCTGCTATCTTGACACACTTCCCTCATATTTTTTCAAAAGTGTGCTTAACTGTTTAGAAGCAGACCTCTTAGAAGTGGTGAACACCTCACTTCTTTCTGGGACTTTTCCAAATTCCCTGAAAACTGCAGTTGTTAAGCTGTTTAGTTGTTAAATCTTGATAACACCATATTGAGCAACTATAGACCAATATCATATCTTCCTTTTATAGGCAAGATTATTGAAAAGGTCGTTTTTAATCAGCTGACCAAATACTTAAACTCAAATGGATAGCTGGACAATTTTCAATCTGGTTCCCGACCGCATCAAAGCACAGAGACAGCGCTCATTAAGATAATAAATGATATTCGCTTCAATTCTGATTCTGGCAAAATATCAGTGCTGGTACTACTAGATCTCAGTGCTGTGTTTGACACTATTGATCATAACATACTTCTAGAGAGACTGGTAAACTGGGCCGGGCTTTCAGGGATGGTTCTCAATTGGTTCAGGTCATACTTAGAAGGGAGAGGTTATTATTTGAGTATAGGAGAGCATAAGTTTAAGTGGACGCCATGAAATTAACAGTTGGAAGTGCCAGAACTTTCTTCAGTTAAACAAGGAGAAAACCGAAGTCATTGCATTTGGAAACTAAGATGAATTTCTCAAGGTGAATTCATACCTTGACTCTAGGGGTCAAACAACTAAAAATCAAGTGAACATTAGTCAGTTAGAAATACCAAGGGTTCACACAAAACAAGGGGAGTCCGCTTTTAGCTATTATGGTTTTTATATGTCTGTATATTTTATGGATTTTATTTCAGTTTTACTTATTTTAGTACATAAAGTTAAACTAAATGAAAACAAGAAATGTTTCCTTGTCAACTAGTAAAATAAGTTTAAGATTTTTTTATATATATATTTTTTTAAATTTCAGTTAACAATAATTTTATTTCAAGTAATGAAACAGTTTTAGTATAATTATAATGGTTTTATGTGATATTTAGGGGTGAATATATGTACATGAATTCATTTATTATTTAGGGTTTTATCTAAAGTAAATTGTAAATGGAAAACATCACAAATCAATTTGTTGTAAGAGCCAATAATATTGAAGACTAGTTACTAGTACACAATGCCTGGCTTAAAGAATAAGCTAGATTAGTGCAGTGAATGAACACAGCGTCAGTGAACAGACAGTGAGGCGTCTGATGCGGTGCAGGCTGAAACTAATCTGACCGATATTATATTGTCGAGTGCCAAATAAACACAGAGATGGACAGGAAAAGGTCAAAGCCATCAGGTGCCCAATTTACACGTTATGGGGTTTCAAATCAAAAAATGACTTTCTGTAACAGAACAGGGCATTGATTTCATACATGTCCACTGTAGAGGACATCAGGACTTAAATCATGTTTATCAGGCATTTTGGGAGACACAACAAGTGAATATGGAAATAAATTATACATCAATATTCCTATGAAATATTAGATATTATTATTAAAATGTTGCCAATTATTACTCCGCCCAGGGTGTAATTCAATGTAGGACCGCCACTAGATATTACCGAACATTTTAGAGTTCTGCTCTGTGCTAAACTGAAGAATTAATGGATGAGTGGTCTCTCAAACAGTGTATGCTCTTACCGTTGTGCAGCCAGCTGAGCTCAGGCAGTGGTTTGCCCTCCACTGAACACTGCAGCATGAAGTCCTGTCCCTCTAACACTGAACAATCCTTCAGAGGAGAGCTGAACACAGGGGGCTTGGCCTCCACCCTCACACCTACAACACACAAACATTACTGAACATCTGAAACCAACCAATAGGTGGCACTGTCACACTAATAATAATAATAATCATAAAAATAATAATAATTTTATATAATAAATAGTATTATTATTATTATTATTAATAATAATAATAATAATAATAATAATAATAATAATAATAATAATAATAATAATAATAATAATAATAATAATAATAATAATAATAATAATAATAATAATAATAATAATAATAATAATAATAATAATAATAATAATAATAATAATAATAATAATAATAATAATAATAATAATAATAATAATAATAATAATAATAATAATAATAATAATAATAATAATAATAATAATAAATAGTATTATTATTATTATTATTATTATTAATAATAATATTATTAAATGCTTGTTGAAAAATAGTGTCCATAAATTGTTTTTTTTTTTAAAGATGCATTAAACTGATCAAAAGAATCAGTGAAGGCATGGAAAATGTTTCTAACCAAAGTTATGTTTCAAATAAATGCAGTTCTTTTGAGCATTATATTCATCAAAAGATCTCTAAGAAAAATTATTGCAGTTTCCTCAAAAACAAAGAGCTGCAACTTTTTTGCTAAAATAAAATAAAATAATTTAGTATAGTCTCTGAACAAATATGAGCTTATAAAATGTATGTAGAAAATAATAGAAGAATTTGAAATCTAATAACATGACACACTACAGGACAGAGATGCCATCGCTTAACATGTTACCTTATAATGAACAATCAATTGTCATTTTTATTGTTGTACTTAAATGGCAATCCATGAACGTAGATGTATAAAGCTCTTACGTTTGACAGTCAGGCTGCAGTGGGCCGCAGTCTTTCCTCTTTTGTTGGCAGCAGTGCAGCCGTACTGTCCCGTGTCAGTTATGTGAGCGCTCTCCAGACACAGGACATGCAGACTGCCCTCCTGTCGCGTGCTGACGCCTGATCTCTGTCTGAGAGGAGCTCCATCCTTCAGCCAGCTCACTGTCGGCACTGGAGACCCAGACACTGAGAGAGCACAACACTTACCTCAATCTGCCATACAAAGTAACACATCATCTGCAGTTCTTCTTAAATATTTTATTCAAAATGTAAATGTAAATGTTTCATTTGTATACATTTGTTTCCCTTTTCAGCAAATAACTGACTGTCACATAACCATGTTAAAATATCTCTGTAAGGCAAAGTTTTTCTTAAATAAATATATATATATATATA